GGAGGGGAGGGAGGGAAGGGAGGGAAGAAAGAAGGGAAGAAGGGAACGGAACAGAAGGGAAGGGAAAGGGAGAGGAGGGAAAGGGAGGGGAGGGAAAGGAAAAAGGGAAGGAAAAGAAAAAAAAAGAAAACTAGTTAGTAAAGGTAAAAGTTACTGGAGTTTGTTTTGTTTTGTTGTTTTGCCTTGGAAGATTGTGTAGGGATTGACCCTCAAGAATTAACTTAAAGGATCACAGTTATTGCATTTGATGGTGAAGGAGGCAAAACTATGAAAGCAATTAACAGATGATGCCCAGATATTATTAGCAGTTTTGTTAAGGATGATCATTTCCAAAACTACAAGTTGATTTGGTTTAACTTTGAATCTAGGAAAATTCAAGTAAAGTTTTATACTATTTTAAGCTTACTGCTTATCAGATGTTTTAATGTAAATTTTTTTCACAGTCTAAATTTGACTGCCTGGATCCAGAAGTCCTAAACAGTCAAGTCTCTAAATATGCTAAGTTTGTGACACAACTGGAAAAAGGCTTGCCCCCCAACAATGTGGTGCCCCAGCTCAAGTTCAAGGTGGAGAAAATGAAACAAAAGGTAAGAGCTCTGGGAATCATTTTGGAACTCCAGCTCAGTTAGTGATTAACTCATGCCGCTGAGATCAAACTCAGGACGTCCCTGACTATTTCTTTTCAGAAAGAAGAAAGAATAGTCCAAACAAAAGGAACAAGGGATTTGAACAGAGATTTCCCTAAACTAAACACAATAAGATGCTGAACTTGGTCACTTTTTAGGGACATGCAAATCTAACCCATGATGTGATACTACTTCACACCCATAGGATGACTGTGATCAAAAATACAGAAAATATGGGGCTGGAGAGATGACCTGGTAGCTAAAGTACTTGCTGTAAAAATGTGAGGAACTGAGTTTAGATCCCCAGTACCCATGTAAGAAAAAGCCAGGCATAAGCAGAACAAAGGTAGGTAGATCCACAGGTAGCCAAAATGGCAAGATCCATGTTCAAAGAGAGACCCTACTTCAAACAATAAGATTAGAGAGTGATTGAGGAAGACACCCGAGTTGATCCCTGGCCTCCATTTGCACATACACATGCACAGTGCACACATTCATATAACACACACACACACACACACACACACACACACACACACACACCTATAGTATAGTAAATGTTGATGGCGATCAGGAGAAATTGCAGCCCTCATGTGTTTCTGGAGGGATTGTAATGTGGTGTAGTCACTCTGGAAATCCATTTGGAAGTTTTCTGAAGATGTTAAACACAGGAATCATATCAGCAGTAATACTATGAGAAAACTGAGAGCTGAAATGTGTGTTCACAGCAGCATCCATCATGACAGCCAAAAGTGTGGAAACCAAGTGTACATCAGCTAATGATGGAGAAGCAAAATAAGGCACCAGCATCCAGTGAATGTTATTGAGCAGTAAAGGAATGAAGTACTGATACACATGGCAGCATACTTCCATTATGCTAAGTAAGAGAAGCCAGTCGAGCCAGAGAGTTGGCTCACGGGGTAAAGGTGCTTGCTGCCAAGTCTGAGGACCTGCGTTCAGTCCCTGGGACCTACAGGGTAGAAGGAGAGAACCAAACCTCGCAGCTTTTCCTCTGACCTCCACATGAGTGCTGGCAGAGCTACATGCATACACACACATGCACACGCAAATAAATAAATGTAATAAAAACTTGGTAGCGGCATAACTGAAAATTAGAAGTTTTTTCCCAAAAGATTCTTCCATATTATGTCAACAGTTTATTTTTGTTGCTGAGTGGTATTCCATCATGTAAATGTATATAGATGTCTATACACTCCCTGCTGAAAGATACCTGGGTTCCTTCCATTTTTTTTAATTTAGTAATTATCAGTTACTTCATATACAGCTGTTTATCAGAACACAAGTCATCAGTTCACATGAAGAGATAAATAGCATCGTATGTGTCTATGGAATTTCCAAAGAATAAATAAAAACATTTTTTAAAGGAACAGCTAGGAATTGGAATTGCCAGATTGTGTGGTCAATGCATGTCCAAATTTACATGAAGTTCCCAGGTTGGCTTTCCCCAGCAATGTGTAATTTGGCTTCTCCTCGTCCTCACCTGCTCTTACTATTAAAGAGCTGTTTGTTTTGTTTTCAGTTTTGGCAATCTAATAAATATAAAATAGCATCTCATAATGGCCACAATTTGCTGTTTTCTGATGCCTTCTGATGTTAACCCTCTTCTCCTGTTCTATTTGTTATCTGTGTTCTCCAATGAAATATTTGCTCAGATCTTTTGCCCATTTTTAATTGAGTTGTTTACTTTGCTATAATTGAGTTTTAGAGTTAGTCACATGTTCCAGACATAAATCATTTCTTCAGATATATAAATTGAAAATATTTTCTGCTAGTTAATCTCAGGAGTTTTAAATTTCTACACAGTGATTTTTTTTTCAGAGCAAAAGATTTTAATTGGATAATCCCAATTTACACATTTTTTTTTGCAAATCAAGCCTTTAGTTCCAAAAACTTTCTGTCAGTCCTAAGACAAGTAGATTATTTTTATGTTCCTCTTCCATCTAGAAGTACTACTGTTTTGCTTCTTATGTTTAGATGTATGAGCTATTTTGAGTTGTTTTTGCATAGAATATGTGTCAAGATTCATCCAATTGATGCAGCATTGTTGTTTGAAAAGATTGTCCTTTCTCCATTGAGTCACTTTTGCATCCTTACGACAGTCAGCTGGTGGTGCTGCAGCATGTCGTGCACTCTTTCCTGTTTTAGCCGTGGTTCCACATTCACTGATTGCTTGAAGTCAGGGGGTATAAAGTCGTCTAGTTTTGTTCTTCCTCTTCGCAATCATTTTGTCTATTCCAATTCATTTGCCTTTCCACATACATTTGAAATTTAGCTTCATCAATGCCTACCAAGATTACTACTGGGATTGTGTTGAACTTATGGATCCATTTGGGGAAAATTAACAAGACTGGGTTTCCTAATCTATTGCTACTATGTGCCTCCAGTTACTCAGATCTTTTCTAACTTCTTTCATCAGTGTTTTGGTTATCAGCATACAGATTTTGCACATACTTTATTAGTAGTTTATTTTTGTTATTATCTTTTTTCAAATTCTAGTTGTTCATGGTCAGCATAGAAGAATACCATTGATCTGGGATGTGCGTCTTACATTCTATGATAATTTTAATTTTAGGAGGATTTTTGTACTTTTTTTAGAAGTTTTACACAAATAATTATGTCATCTATGAGTAGAGACCAT